CGCACGGCATATTGATCGATCTAAAGTTTTAATAGCACACTCAGTTTGTGCTGGGGTAAAGGTGACTGTGGCAAATAAGGGAACTTGAGCAAAATCGGGCTTCACTACTGGCAACATAGCATTGTCCGGTTTGGGAAGTTTTTTGAATGCTCCGACTACTTCACTTTCCGATTGGTCCAAACACTTTCCCCTACTTCAAAAAGCATAGTCCTCTGCATGTTTGGTTTATTGACTTCTCAGAAAGAATAATAATAAGAAGACGCCGAAACCGACGGATCCGCTGTGGCTAGCAAGATCTGTTAATGATTGGTGACGAGTGACTTCGGCTAACTGTACAATGTACAATTAACACAGAAGAACAGTGCTTGTTTTAAATAACGATGTTGTCTCGGTAGACCTGCAATTCAGTGAAAAAAGCCATATATCTGTCCACAATCAGCGAAAGAATTTAAACCGGTCCACATGAATTTTTGTCCACAACAGCTCCCCAAATCACACTGCGAATATTCAAAGCTAGCAAGGTCGAGAACAGTTACGCGTCAGAAGAAAGACGTCACTATCGTGATTCTAATTATCTTAACAATTATCTAATAAGGCTCAAATACGATGAAAAGGGATATCTGCGCTACCAACCGTGCAGTTGGTGGCGAAGGTTCAAGTCCCAGGCCTCTTGAAGTCCCGTATGGCACTATACAACCAGCCTACAGTGACATCCAGCGCAACTTGTGTGGATAGATAGTACTAACCACCAGGACAATGAAAGTTGACCGCAAGATGCTAATAACATGTCAGACCAGGGATCCACCTGACGATCAGTCGTACCTGCGTCCAATAGCAGTATTCTAGAGCCCTGAAGAAAGTAAGGATTTCAATACTGTCCTTAAACCTCCACACAAAAACACACGACTAATACACGATCGCATGGACCGACAACGAGCAGGGAAACGGGGAAGATCCACGACGCCTTGTACCCCCTAAAAGAATCCCCATCCCGACAAAAGAAACGTAAGGGTCGAAGCTAGAGAAGTAATAGACTACTTATTCATCACCGCAGCTGACCAACGTCACAGAGGTGGCTTCGTCGGCTGAATGCCGGCATAAAGTAAAGAAGGTAGATGGTTCATTTAAACTAGTATTTCTATGCTATATTATGTTACTTTTGCGCGTTGAGAGCAGCTGCAGCGCTAATCTAGGAAAGCCGGCGCTAATCCAGGAAGAGGCCGGCTAGACCAGGCTTGATCACAGCCGTAACAAGTACAACAAGTACAATCCAGGAAGACAATGCTCATTCTTCCCCCGTTTAAAGATATAATTTTGATATACCAGCAGGAAAAGAGAAGATACACAGCCTGCGGGGTAGGTAGGATAGAACTTCACGGAAACGTCAATGACATTTTTAGAGTGACTATGATAATATAAAAAAGGTGTTTTTCTACTTGAGGTTGATGTTCAGCAATGTTCAATCATCGCTGTAAATCGATTTAGCCGAAAAAAGTGGAACACCCGTT